GGTAACTCGCCCCCCCCCCAACACCCTCTTCTCCCATCCACAACAAACAGGGTCTCACCGCACACGGCGTTTCCCAATGCAGGCGTGTGACGGCGTGTGGGATGTAATTTCGGATGAGGCGGCGTGCCGTATCGTGGCGAGCGAGAGCGACGACATCCTCAAGGCCAGCATGAAGCTGCGGGACTACGCGTACCTCTTCGGCAGCCAGGACAACATCTCCGTCATCATCGTCAAGTTCAAGTAGTAGTAGTGACGCGAGAAGAAGGTTCTGCACTCGGCGATGATGTTTGTGGTGTGTGGGCGACCGGTGTGGTGTGATTGTAAGAGAAAGGAGAGGAGATGAAGACGAAGAGGGTTGTGAAGGTGTAACTTGCATTTTAAAGCGGGATCAACATTGTCTTATTATTACTCACGCCTTGGACAAGCTAAACCCACCACACCTTCACAACCCTTCATCGCCCGCGCATTTCTCTTTTTTTCTTGTCTTGCTGTTGCTCTTTCACGAACTTGAGACAACGCCAGCAACGCCGTAGAGGCCAAGGACGAGTTATCTCCAGCAGGCGATTGGTGATGCAACGGGCTCTAGAGTTGAAAACCGCGGTAGCGCGAGCGACGCGCTAGCTCGAAGATTCCATTGGCTCAACAAGAGCGCGCAGTAGAAGCGCCACCCAAAGTGCCAGGCGACAAGAGCAACCGCGTTGGCACCACCGCCCCACATAAAACCCAACACCACCATCACTGTATTCTTCAGTTTACTACAACTCTACAACACTACCACCACCAACTACATCACATCAACAATGGGAGACGAGGTTCAGGCTCTGGTCATCGACAACGGTTCGGGCATGTGCAAGGCTGGCTTCGCCGGTGATGACGCCCCCCGCGCTGTGTTCCCCTCGATCGTCGGTCGCCCGCGCCACACCGGCGTGATGGTCGGCATGGGCCAGAAGGACTCGTACGTCGGTGACGAGGCCCAGTCCAAGCGTGGGTATCCGTCACCCTCAAGTACCCCATCGAGCACGGCATCGTCACCAACT